ACTAAATACGTTAAAATTACGGCAATATTCAAATTATCTTAGATAGAAATTCATAAAAGTTTTTCTTTTTAAATCTAAGATTTGAAAATTTTTAATAATCTATAATATATCCTAGACAGATAAACCGTCTCCGCTCAGAATCGTTTTTCGTATACAATGACGCAATATCATTGGATTCAAGTTTAATTCTATCCATTACAGTAACCCACTTGTAACCTACGACTTACCACTTTTTTTCTTTAATAATGCAGTTATTTAAAATCTGCTTTTTGAAATTTTCAAATAATACTTATCTTATGTTTTAAGGACGAAAGCTCCATGGTAATAGGCTTATATAATATATGGGGCTAAATGAAGCTATGCTCTTTTATCATTTAATTTATGAATGTGACCGGATCCATATTACAATTATATAGGTACATAAAAATAAAGCCATAATTATTTTTATTAAAGCGATTGAAAAATCGGAATCTTACGCTATATCGCATATTTTTATGTACAACATAATTGTATGCATATGTTATTCATTTTATAATATCATAATATCATATAAGTTGTATTTTAGTGAATGTGACGATTTTAATTCATTATTCGTAAATAAAAGAAAAAATGTTTAAGCATATACTTTATACATTTATACTCGTATATATTTAATATCTACAATTTATATTGTAGAGATAATATGATATACTTGAGGTTGATGCGGTTAAATATAATAGACCGTGAATAATGAGAAAGTTGGAGAAAATTGACGTTGGTTGTTTTTTGCTCACTTTTTGCAGTAGATAAGTCAAATCATTAAGCTCGGGTACTATTAACCTCCCACATTAATAATTTGTTTTAAACTAACATTAATCGAAACATGGTTTCTTTAACAATAATAAAAAAAAAACCCAAAAAGAACGACTATGTATTGTAATGAACGTTATAAATGGGATAGATGCTTCGAACGGATATTTTATATGCACATTATAACTTTTAGTAAAAAAAAATAGCTTATCAATGCGTTAAAAAACGATTATGCGTGTAACATTTTAACGAATGAAATCTATTAAAAAAATTTCAATATTTTAATAATAATAAGTAGCTGAAGCGTTTTATAGACACTAGATTTATCATAAAATAATGAGAAAGTTCACTAACAGTTAAGTAGTTATTCGTATTCATATATTATATCAGAAAGCTCACTGATTATTTTTACATAGTCATTATGTAGTGTACATGGCGAGAACGACTTAATACTCTAATCCAGTAGTTTTTACCTTTTTTTGATTCAGCGCCGCTTTAATGAGATAAATGACAAGTACGTTCTCCCTTTCAACAAAAAATATCATACCTTTATGTATCAGTTTTTTAAATTAAAATAAAAACTTTTAATGTTTAATAAAATATAAATGTTTTATCGGCTCTAATTTAAACTTTTCTGTATAAAAAAAAATTGTATAATACTATAATAAAATTATACGTGTCACTTGAAACTGGTGTTTTTTATTTTTTCCATGATTTCAAATTTGAGAGTTCACCGCCTCCCTAAAAAACCAAAATACCTTCTAGGAACAGCACACGTTAAGAAAAACTGCTCAATCTGTTACAAAATATATTTCAATGTACCAGTTATGTGCTACCGTCGTCTGACGTCGGTGAAAGCACATATCCTTATTTTTCCTATCCATCGTCCACTACTGATCACAGTGGGATATTCATTGGGAAAATTACGGAGTCGATTAAGCATATTATAACTTAAATGTTCCGATGTGCATGTTGTACCGAATTAGAATACTACCGGTTAAAGTCACCACAATATTACAGAAGAATAATATGATATATATTTGATTTGTTCCGTAGCAATATACCATTATCATAAGAATGCTAACATGTTAATAATGAACACAAAAATTTATTTACTCGAGCTAGTCAGAATATTAATCTGATCATTGTGCGACTAAGTAAAGTAATTAAAATAATTATTAACACGCCGGTCTGTTAATTGACAAAGGTCTTAAGTGAAGTTAATTATGTGCATTAGTGAACGGTTTTAGTTTAACGCAAAATCTGGGAAACTTGATCGAATTGGGAGAAATCCTAAAAGGATGTCATTCAGATGAGAAAAGGGTCTTTTAGGTATAGACAATATATCATTCCTCTATTAAATAGTCGCTAACTTCGTTAAAAATGTTATTTAAAAATATAAAAAGTAAAAATAAAACAAAGTTAAAGTTGATCAAAGATTTTATATGAGTTCCCGATAATGCTTTGAAATACGATAACTATGTAGGTACATTTTAATTTATATTTTATAGGAGCTATAATGGGGCACTATGGTTTGCTGCAGTCACTAACTTGTGCTGAAGTAAAGCATAAGCATAACTAGTCATTATAGTTATATTGCCAGCAAATTCATACGTAATTGAATGTACAATTTACTTAACTAGGTAACTATTCCAATCAAAATTAATGGAATTAAACTAATATTGACATTTATATTATAATATAATATTTGGCATAGTTTATCAGCCACTGCTGGATTGATAATTATGTTTTGTCTATAATTTTTCATTCGGATAAATTGTCACGATTAAAGCAAAATATTTACCATATCATTGTATACGAGTACCTGCATTCATTATAATATTGTATTGTGTGATTTTTAAGAAAATCTATGTTTATATAAAATTATAGTATGATGTATACACAATACGCGATACATTTGTTAATTTAAGAATTATGGATAGGTAGTAACCTAAAATTGTTTTGTTTGTTTAATATCCTTCAGGTTACGTCTGATATCAATAATACATGCACGCTTTCACATACTGGCACATCAGCCGCAGCTCCGTTAGCAGCAGGAGTTATAGCTTTAGCTCTCGAAGCCAAGTAAATGTTTTTATTTTTACATTTAAATTTATTGATTTTGAATAATATCACGGTTAAGAAGAAAATAATAAGTCTGTGAGTATTTATTGGACAGATCCATATTATTTATTCAAAATAAGTCATGTCGAAAGCATTCACATACAGTAGGGTCTCGATTATCCGAACACAGGCTAATCCGAAAGACGYGGTAATCCGAACGGGCTTGAGAATTATCTTATCGCCATAATATGTACATACTACATAATATGTACATATTATGTATGTATTTATAAATAATATTTTCCGGTAATAAA